ATTTCACATGCGAAAGTAGAAGCGGTCAACTGGCATTTTACTCGCTTCATGTCCTCTTTAGTAGACATATGAAAGGATGCAGTGAACACTTGAAAAGCCCAAGTTTGCTTTGTCATTTACATACATCACAGACGCCCTTTCGAATGCAAAAATTTGCAACACAGCATTAGGCTCAATCTGTCAAATGCTTTTTCCTAAACGACAAAAGGAAAAAAGAAAACAAGACTCTGTGCTCTCCAGGGCGTTCCTGCACCTGCACAATCATAAAACCGCGCTCGGCGGCCGCGCTAACATTCTCTGGAATCAAATTTGCCTTCGAAATCTCGTTTTTAACGGTTGCAGTCTGTGAATGTGATAGAAGCAAATTACGCATGTTTTTTTTTTTCCAGATCTTCCTTATTAAAGTCATAGCTTACATTATCTGGGTTCCTTGCAAAAGAATTCAACGTACTGTCGAAAATCCCCATTAAGGAAGCGAAATCAATGTTGCTTTCAAATCGCGTCACCATATTCAAATCATGGCTATGCCTACCACTGCAACAGTGAATGACTGCTGGATCGAGAGGATGCGCCTCGGTGTTGAATATATAACCACCAGCTTAAAGTAAGCATTATCTGGTGTTCATAAAAAATTCCAAGTCCGCTTGAAGAAAAACTACGAAGACGAATTTGTACACTCGCACAACATCACATACCATCAACAAGGCAGGGACCATTGGGTGTCTCAACAATGCGTGCCACAGTCCCATTGCTATTCATGAAATTGTCCGGATCGAACAGCAAGTACAAATACTTCGTTGTTTCGGACAGAAAAAAGGACTCCATCCTGGAAATGTTTAAAAAAACTTGCTTCTGCAACAAAGTTTCAATTCTAAACTTTGACGTAAAATCGGAAGAAGTATTTTCCACAGTGCGACGGCTAACCTATCTTCAATGGAATGATGCTCCACATTAACAACTGTTGCATAACCACACTCTGTCCGGCAGCTATGTTCAATTGCCTGCAATAGG